GAAATGATTTCATGCTTCCTTAGGAATTAAACATCCGCTGATTTAAAACATAAATTTGCATTTTGAAATGAAAGCTTATTATCCCCAAAATAAATAAATCCCCAAGTGGTGTTTCTATTGCCTTCCTAAAATTTAATTAGTTAAAATTTAACTAAAGAGAGAAGCAGTCTGGAATTAAGGAGGAATTTCTGACAGAACAATCAGCCAGTGGAACCCCTTGCCTCCAGAAGTTGTGGGGCAGGGTTTTTTTTAGAAAAGACTGGACAGCCACTTGTCTGAAACAGTACAGCGTCTCCTGCTTGAGCAGGGGGTTGGACTAGATGACCTCCAAGGTCCCTTCCAACTCTGTTATTCTACAATCCCAGATCAATCAACCAGTGGAATTGCTTGCCTCCAGAAATTGTGCATCCTTCATCCCTGGAGGGTTTTTTTTTTTTAAAAAAAAAGACTGGACAGCCACTTGTCTGAAACGGTAGAGCGTCTCCTGCTTGTTATTTTTTGTTTTTGTTATTGTTAGGGATTCATCCTCTGCTCCCATTCTCTATAAAATAGGTAGATAATTCTTATTTTTACGGCATGCTCCATTTAATCCTCCAGGGAAAGATGGAAGGCAAACGAGGTCCAGGCAGAAGAAGAACATCGTGGCTTCAAAATCTAAGGGACTGGTTTGGACAAAACTCAGCAGACCTTTTTCCTGCGGCTGCTGATAAAAACAGGATCACCAACATATCCGATAACGGATATGGCACAAGAAGAAGAAGAAGAATTCTTATTTTTGTCGGTGGCCAGATCCAGCAGAACAGTGGACGATGGGTGCAAGGGCATTATCCATTTGCCCAGCTTCTGCCATAAAACAAGATGAAGTGCTGCCACCATGTGGCTGAAGGCGCACAGCACATGAAGGAGCGACGAAAAGGAGGATCGTCTTCAATTTCCCTTCGTGCCTTTGAGATCGGAGGCAGCCGACATGGTTTCTCCAGACCTCGGAGGCATCGCCTCCGATTTTCTCCCGCCAGCAAAGCCCTCCTGCTGCCCCCCAGGGACAAAACAGGGAGCCCAGATAGCCTCCTCCGGGTCTGATCTTCATGGGGGATTTTAACCCCTTTCCTCTCTACAGGAAGAACAGGCACCAACCGCAAATCTTTTGATGCAGGTGTGAGATTTTTTTTCTCCCCTTTTCTCCTCGATCCGGCCACGTTGCGTGCTTGGTCTCGATGCCAGCAACACCCCGGGCCCTAAATCTTGGCATGGGATGCATCTGGACGCAGGAAGGCGCCTCCTTCGAAAATGGGGAACAAGCAAACCATCTTTACAGATGAACAATTAGACGCCTATCAGGTGCGCTGGGCTGGGTTTGGCAAGAATGGAGATGCTCGGGATGGGGGGGGGGAAGCATGATGCGCCCTTGCGTCGGGCTTCAGCTGATGGGGTTGAAGGCTGGTGGGTCTCCCAAAACTGCCAGACAGCATTGTCTCTTTTCTGGGTGAGCCCCAGTTTCTGTATGCTTGAATAGACTTCCCTGTGACGGGGCCCTTCCTTCGATCTGGCCTTGGGGTCAGGATGGGCTTAGAGGCAGTTTTCCAGGATGGGGGGAGAGAGAGAGAGAGAGAGAGAGAGGGAGAGAGGGAGAGAGAGAGGGAGGGAGGGAGGGAGGGAGGAGAAAGAGGGAGGGAAAAAGAGAAAGACCGAGAGGGAGAGTGTTTGGGGCAGGTGGTCCTGCTTGGAAAGCGCAAGGTCTGTTGGGTTGAATCCTGAAGCTTTTAGATCAGGGTCTCCAACCTTGGCAACTTGAAGACTTGTGGACTTCAACTCCAAGAATTCTCCAGCCCTCTCCCAGCAAATTCTGGGAGTCGAAGCCCATAAGTCTTCAAGCTATGCTGGCTGGGGAATTCTGGGAGCCCCTAAGTCTTCCAAGCTGCCAAGCTTGGACACCCCTGCTCTAGCTGAGTGGTGTGCTGAAGAAGCCAGTGCCCGGAATTCCTCCTCAACTTGGCAGTCCTGCCATGAAGACCCCCTCCACTCTGGGTCACAGATACTGGTGCCCATGTGCCACGTTGATGGGTTTCGTGGCATCGGAATGCCCCCCCTTTTTTTCAAACTGATATGCTAACCTGCAAGAGCAGGATCCTGAAGGGTCCTTTTGTACATGCTTCAAATGAATCAGGCTGCTGACCGGCCTTGCTGGGCATCAGAATGGCCCATGCCTTACTCTGCTGATCCTCAGGAGCATCCGAGTCTCAGGATCGGTCCATTCCCATTGTGAGAGATCCAGTGGAAAGTGGATCTCCTCTCCCTGGTCTATTGGCCAACGTGAAATAGGAGCCTATTTTCCAACACAAAGACCCAGGCTGGCCCGGATTAGATGGCCTGGACTGGGAAGAACCATTGGAAGTTCTGGGGTTTTTTTGGACCGCTTTGTTCTCCCCTTCCAGCCAGTCAATTAAAAAACAAAACTGGCCGTTGCCTTGGCCGAGGTCTGCCTTCCTTTTGCGTTTGGAAGTCTTCCTGGGAGAGGAGAAATCGGCGTTGATTCCTTTCTGTCTGGGAGATTCAGAAGGAGAGTGAGCAACATCTGTGCAAGTTGGAGAATTCAGTGCTGAGGTTCAACCTCACAATTTTAAAGTAAAACAGCCTTTACAGCTATGTCGGTTTAGGGAAAAGTTGCAGTGAAGTTTTAAAAAATGCACGGAAACATCTCATGGTTGAGTCGGTGCCCTTCAGAAATTTTGGAGCACAATTCCCACAATCCAGGCTAGGGCTGGCGAGCAAGCCTCTCTATGCTGGAACATTTTGTTGCAGCTCTTGATTATACAAATGAGGTTTCGGATTTCGTAACTTTGATGCATTCCCACAATATGCTGAACTAACTCTGGGAAAAATCTAGCAAGCTGGTGCATTTGTACAACTTGCCAAGATTAGTTTGTACGAGCCTTGGTGAAGCTAACTTGTGAATTGTTTGTGTTATGCAAACTCCCCTTTTTACTTGGGCGCTGTGTGAATATTCTACAGGAAATCTAATCCGGGAAGGGTCAGATTAGATGACCTCACAGACGCCTTCTGCCCAGAGATGGTTTTTATTCTAAGGCAGAAAATAATACGTTGTACATACATATTATAAAATAGGGAGATAAACCTTCCACCTTTCAAAACTCTAAATAGATTGCTTTATTTTTGCAAATTCAGTGAGACAAAAAGTCGGCAGAATTATTTTTGATTTAACCTGCATGATCTCATCAGAATTATTTTATTATGGAGGGCACCCTGTCAGGCTCAGTAAAACTTCACACAAAGATAGATAAAGAAAAAAAGGGGGGGAGGGCAATGTAAGAATCAAAATTGGATCTTACTTAATGGATATTTTGATTAAGTTGAAAGAAGGGAATAGATTCTCGTAGTTGGAAAAAAAAAACCCTAATCTGTCTTGGAAAGAACTCTTCTGCAGAGAAGCAGGGTTTTTCAGAAGCATCTTTTTTTATTTCACCAGACTCTCACATTCTTAGAGGATAATTCACTTTTTTCTCAGATTTGGCATTTCTGGCGGATTGTTTTATTTATACAGTAACAAAACCAGGGCCCTATTCCAGATAATACATAACTTATTTGGATAGAGGCTGAACGGAAGCATTTGCAGATCGGAGAAAATGTGGCTTATTTTAATTTTGAAGGAGCTTTTCTGCCAACTTTTGACGTATTTTATTTTATTTTATTGTTTAGTTTAATTGATTAGTTTAGTTTAGTTTAGTTTATTATTTTATTCTTTCTCTGTCTCTTTCTCTCTGGATAATGCTCCTAATTTGGCTTGAAAGCTAAACTGAAATCCAAGGCCATTTTCCTCAGAACGGGTCGATCCGAAGCCATTAGCCTGCAATAACGCGATGCTTTCAAACCTTGTCCAAGCGAACCAAGGCTAAAAAGGAGAGCCTCCATGTACAGGCACAGTGAAGGCTGCCGAATACAGTGCTGGCCTCCAGGTTTGGCTCCGGAAGGCTGAAAAGGCTTTCAGCTAATGGAGCTTGGAAACAGGACGCTTGGGTGGGAGGGCTGGGTTTTGCTTCTCTCTTGGAAGTTTGGATTACCATGCATGGCCTCAGACTTAGTTTCCTGTTAAGTAACAACCTTGGCTGATGATCCTGGCTGATATAATTACATGAGAAAAAAGAAAGCTCCTGGGGGGGGGGGGGTTAACCAGCATGTCTTTGTTTCCTATGCCAGCCTTTTGCAAAGGGCCACCGACACCCTCCTGCCCAAGCCGTAAAGAATGTGCAAATTCAAGGAGGGATCCTGGCTTGTTTCTCTCGCGGTGTTCTCTAGCAGTGTCCCAATATTTGAGGGGCGGCCAGAAGGAAGAGGGGGTCAGCCTATTCTCCAAAGCAGCAGAAGGCTGGACAAGAAACAGCAGATGGAGGAGAGAAGCAACCTAGAACTAAGGAGAAATTTCCTGACAGCTAGAACAATTAACCAGTGGAACAGCCTGCCACCAGAAGTTGTGGGTGCTCCATCGCTGGAGGCCTTTAAGAAGAGATTGGCCAGCCACTAGTCTGAAATGATATCGGGTCTCCTGCTTGAGCAGGAGGTTAGACTAGAAGACCTCCAAGGTCCCTTCCAACTGTGTTATTCTGTTATTCTTTGTGCCACCCCCTCTGGAAGAATGAGAGAAACCATCTTCCTGTATCTCTGTAACTCAGTGGTTCTCAACCTGTGGGTCGGGACCCCATTTGGGGTCGAATGACCCTTTCACGGGGGTCGCCAAACAATGCAGTCCGCCATTTTTCCCCCCTTTTCCTTAGCTGTGCTACTTCCTTTTATTCTATTGGCTTTTGAAAGCCAATAGAATAGACTCTCTTGAATAAAGTCTAATTCTATTGGCTTTCAAAAACGAATAGGAATTGTCCAGGCTGTCTCTGCCCTGCTGAGCCCGCCAAAAGTCCCATTCTGCAAACAGTGCTGCACCCGTTGAGTAGTCCTCGACTTACGACCGGTTGGGTAGTCCTCAACTTACGACCGGTTGGGGGTCGCGGCATTAAAAAGGTTGAGAACCACTGCTGTAACTTTATTCAGCCACTCCATCTCGCCTGGAGGGAATGTTGAGCCCATTAGCCACTCCGTAGGCAGGGAAGGAACCATCTTAATAAGTGGCGCTCAAGAAGGCTTTAAAATCTTTTCTGAATCTGGAATATCAGGGCTAAATAATGGCCAGTGGTTATTTTCCCTAAGGCCAACTTGATCATGTTTTTTAAAGGACCAACATGCAGTCACAACAGCTTTTCCAAAAGAGGTTTCTTCCAGAGGCCTTGGTTTACAGAGGGCACCAGGCAGGGATGGGGATGATAGTTTAATTCAGAACGTGGCTTGTTTAGGAAGATCTGCTCCTTAGGTCGGCTGGTCACATGGATTGGAATTGTCATCGTGAGACAGATGAGAACCTGCTGGGATGTTTTTGTGATGATATACTCACTTTGGAACCTTGCCTGAAGCTAGTAGAGTTTTGTTTCTCGTCTCTAAGAATGAATGAATGTGTGTGTGTGTGTGTAACGTGTATTTGCTTGCCTCTTTATCTGTGCATACACAAATACTCACAGATAAGTATTATTCCAGTCTTTGAATATTTAAATTATTTCCAATTTCACAGTAGGGCAGTCTTTTTTTTTTTTCTTTTTATAAAGCTAACACACGCTGTTCAAAAAGGCTGCAAGGATCAAAAATATTTGATAAATGCCCGATTGGGCTCTCATTTTGCATCTTCTGCTCCAGAGAAAAAAGGGGGTGTTGTTATGTATGTTAAGAACAACGTGTCAGCTAAATTAATAGACTCAGATTCTCAAGGAAGATATGTTATGATTGAAGTAATGTTATATGGAAAGAAATTGCTTGTAGTGGGTTTGTATGCCCCTAATCATCAACAAAAACAGTTTTATAAGTTTTTATATCAAAAATTGATCTTATTGGATTATTGGATTGGACAGAACTTACTTCTGATCTCTCCCATTTCTATATGTTTGGTTCTATCTGGGGGGGGGGGAAGACCTTGTAACGTGAACTTCTAACTAAGATGGTCAGAAAAAGAAGAAGTCTTCTCTGCAAAGAAAGAAGGAGGTCTTCTCCTCTGCAGAAACTGACCAAGTCTTCTTTGCAGAAAAAGAATAACAGAATCACACAGTTGGAAGGGACCTTGGAGGTCTTCTAGTCCAACCCCTTGCTCAAGCAGGAGACTTTTATGCCAGGGGTCTTCTCTGCAGAAAGTGACCAAGTCTTCTCCTCTGCAGGTCCTCTGCAATGGGGAGATCTCATTTCCCTCTTTCTTTCTGTTCTCATGCAGGATTGCACCTTCTTCACACGAAAGGAGATCCTCAGGTAAGCAGACTATGCACCTTGTTCCACCCTTCAGGCTGGCCCAGGAAGAAGTGCCAGATGTTGCTCGAGCCATTCCTGGGGAGGAAATAGAGAAGCTCACAGTCCTTGACTGTAAAGGTCACAGGTGGACTCTTCCAGAGGTGAACCACAAATGGAAGGATGCTGTTTCGGAGCCCTGTGGTGCTTCTCCTCCAAGTTCTGAGAAAGTCACACTCTTTGAGTTGTTGGCAGCATCAGCAAACCATCTGGGACAAGCCCACTGATAAAAACAAAGCAGCTGATGTCCCCACAATCCATTGTTATTATTATTATGGATCATCGCACAGTCAGCCAGATGTTCAGACTGGATTTGGCATTTTGTCTACCTATCGAGTCCTTACCCAGGACCTGGGATAGGCAGATGTGGATGTTTGATGGTATTACAGGGATCGTCGCAGGATGGAAGCAGTTCCTAATAAGGCCGCCTTTTGCAATTGACTAATAGCGAATTTGTCAATGCCAATGGTGTTCAAGTGGTGCTCCAGTTGTTTTGGGATTGCACCCAAGGAGCCTATGACTATTGGTACTACCCTTGCTTGCTTTTGCCACAGTCTTTCTATTTCTATTTGTAGGTCTTTGTATTTTGTTATCTTCAGTTCAAAAATATTATTATTATTATTATTATTATTATTATTATTATTATTATTATTTCATTCTTGAATTCAGCTGAAGCAAACTTCTATGCTTTATGCAAACTTTCTGATGGTTCTTCAACTAAATTTAGACAGGTCATTTATTCGAACACTGGCTTATTTTACCCAAGTTATTCCTGTTAGGAAAAGAGACAGGATTTTAGGAAGGGAGCAGATTCAATACGTGGGTTTTCTCTGATCAAATGTGGGGCTACTGAGTTGTGTTCGGTGCAGGGACCAACATTTTTTCCAATGAGGCCAGCTTTTTTGCTCTACAATCGGTTACTTTTTTTTAATTTTACAATTTCCTAACCAGTCATGGTTCTTGTTATGTGATCAGCTCATTCCAAACACTCCTCTGGGCACGTTAAAAGTGTAGATTTCGTACAGTGAAGGAAAAGAAACTGTGTCTACAAGAACAAGAAACGGGCTGATCTTTCAACCTGGCGTACTTTCCTATCCTCTTTATGCCTCTGGTAAATCCCACGTAGGGCCGTGACTAATTACAATTCAGCTGGGAAAATTAACGCTGCTTCCTAGACCAAAGCCATTTGTGTGTGTTTGTGTGTCTCTGTGTGCATGTGTGTGCATTCTGGCTTGGTAGAAAACAATACTTTTTAGGCTTAATGAACTAAAGCTCCTCCTCGTATTTCTGTGGAGAAGGTCGTTATCCTCCTCAAAAAACATAATCTCAGCTCAAAGCCAACAATCCATTCATGTTTATTTGAGTTCATGGGACAAGGTTCAGCTAACATGCTGTCCAGAGCAGCCTCTGCTTAGGAATCCGATGCTTCCTCCCCCCCCCCCCAATAGCAGAGATGTCGCTGCCGTGTGCATTGTACCTGAAAGGTAAAATCAGAGAGGATCGTAATTTATCCTGGGACCAGCCAAGGCTGCAGGACTCAGAGTTCTTTCAAAGAGGGGTTGCTTCTAAGAGAACAAAATGTGTCAGCGGAAGGTGGAATGGGAAAAGCAGCCGATGCTCTCCCGGGTTTTTCACATCAAAGCAACTTTTATCATGTCTCCTGGGTAAAACTTCAGACCGGAGAAGGTGTAGAGCCATCAGCCCCTGGGAGAGTTGATCTGTCAGCAACCTGGTGGTTCTTCTTATGTCTTGGACTTCAGTCCCACCCTGAGCAATTCCCCCAAGTGGGGGGTATTTTCTCTGGCCTCCCAGGTGACGGGGGGTCTCCCATGTCACGTGGTGCGGTGGCAAGAATTGCGACTTCTGTACCACCAAAGCTCATTTTCTTGGTTTCCGAGAAAAGTTCTTCTCTCATTTGAAGAGGAGAATCCAAGACTTAAGTTTCGTGCCCTCGGAGGCCCAAGCGTTCCATTCACCTGGTGGGAAATCACAGCAGTTCTCAAAGTTTTGCCACGGGGTGGCCAGAAGGAGCCCCCCCCCAAATCAACTCAAGGGGGGCTGATGACTCTCCTTGAAGCTGGGAGCCAAATCTTAGCTAAGAACCCTCTTCTTGGTCCGTAGCTGTGTCTGTTCCCTTACAGGTTGCACGGCCGCTACCACGAACTGGCACCAAACATGGTTCCCATGGATTATACCAAGAATCCAGATGTTAAACTCCCTCTGCAGCTCATAGAGAACATGCCAGAACTCAAGGTATGGCACAGCGAGATCAGTTTTATCTTTGTTGATATTTTCCACAGCCTATAAAATCTGGGGGGGAGGGGGGCGGTAGGTAGAGAAGACTGTAAAATGTGCAGATTTTATGGATTTGGCTGCAAAAGTCTAGCTTCTTGTTGTAAAGATTTAAAATCCTCCCATTAAGGCTTCTGCAGTGAGATGATATCTGCTGCACGGATAGCATTCTATCCCAGTGGCTGTGGTACTGAGAAGCTCAAATTCTTTCTTTCCCTGTCTTTGCAAAGCATATCTTGATGGGAACAGACCATAATAATGAGCAGGAATAGATTTCATACTAAACCATTTGCCCTAAACTGTTGTCTTTTTTATTGCCCGGCAAGAATGTTGCATGTCTCTTTTTCAGTAGAGTATTGATTTTTTTTTTTTTGCTAATTGAATTCTCCCAATAGAAGAAAATCCATCAGCCATCAACACATAGAGATAAATCACATTGAAAAGAGCTAATAAAACAGCTAAGAAGGAAACAATAACAACAGCAAAAAAGCCAGAACACATTCTCTGCATTAACCAGCTCCCAAATAGACAGGAATCAACACCAGACAAATAATTGAGCAGAAAACAATACCCTAATCAATTACCGAGGGGAAAACCACACCCCACCAATATGGACAAGGCAAGCAAAGCTCACATTCATGAGTATTGATGAGGTTACCTAGTTGGGTAATGAATTGTCTGAAAGAAAACAGCCAAGTTCAGAAAGCACCAAAGTCTCCATTATTGACTTCTTTTGTTGTTGTTGTTGATGGTGGTCTTTATTAATTATTATGGTTTTGGGCTACTCCTTTTTTACTTTCTCTTTTCCTCCACACTGGCCACCCTTGTGCAAGACAACCCTTGGCCTAGCTTCTGTCCAGCCATGCTTCTTCATGAATTTGACCTGTTCTCAACCCTAAAAGGGGATTGGTTTACACTATATCTATAGCCTTGTAACTTCATATATTCCGAGAGAGATCAACAACAGGGAACAAGAGACCAGAAGGTCAATTCTTGGGATTGAGTTGCCCTAAAAAGCAGGAGAACTAATGTAATTGCTAAATGTCTTCTAGAAAACGTGCGGGAGGGAACACAGAATTCTCCAGGCAGCATCAGAGTTGACCTCCATACATATTAAAGCTGCCAAGGGTGAGGAAAACCTTGAAATGGGACCTAAAGGTCTTGAAACAAGTTGGTTTTTTTTGCTGCTGGGCTCACTGTACTAGTAGGAATGGAAAGAGGTGGGTCTCCAGGCTGTGATCAAAAAAAGGACGTCTTTGCTTCAATGAACTAAGGATGTCATTGAAGCCGTGCATGTAAAAACAGGGTTTTGAGTGCACTGTCATGTATACCTTGATGTTTTGACCATACTTTGAAGTTACCCCTGAAAGCTCAACTTCATGCCATTATTTTAACCAATTGGAAAATAGTGTTGAGACCGTAACCACCACATGTTAGTGGAGAGGCTGGATTTTATCCCCAGGATCAGGAGTGAGCAACTATGGCCCCTTTACGACCTGTGGACTTCAATTCCCAGAATTCCTGAGCCAGCCATGTCCACAGGTCGTAAAGGGGCCATAGTTCCCATCCCTCCTTAGGACCTTCTTGCAATTCTAGTAAAGACAGGAGCGCCTCCTCTGCTTGGTCACCACTCTGGGGAAGCCCTGGGAGAATTCAGGATTCAAATAGGACCATGGACAGCTGCTCCAACGGCAGTGGCCAACCTCAAATTGGGCCCATAGATTGTTCTTTTCTAAAGGCGCCTTGCCTATTTTAACAATTCTTGGCCCCATCAATCTTTGAGAGACAAAAATGAATTCATGGCAGATTCCTAGAATGTTTTGCAAAAACCGAAAATGCAGCACGATCGCAAAAACTCCCCCCAAAGGATCTGAAGATCTCCAATTTTTGAAGCTTTGGGGAAAAGCATTCCACGACTTCCTGATGACGTGGTGCGACAGTTCATTTCCACCAGTGCCCCTGGATTGAAAAGAAAGAGGGTCTCTTAGATTCAGTAAAAGGGGTCCAAATATGGCTTACTCCTGCGGGGGTCTGCCTACCCAGCAGAAATGCACGGGGATTTTTTTTGATCCCTTCCCTGCTTCCGAAGGTGTTGAGTGGATCTGTCTGCAGACTGCCATCAGAGTAACTGGATCCAGTGGTAATGCAGTCTGTTGTAAGAGACACCGATGGGTAGCACTGGAGAAGTCCAGAAATGGGAGAGACTGCTTCAGCTCTTGAGATGTTATATCTTTGGGCAGATATATCTTTCGCTTCCTCTCATGTTCTCCTTTGGGAAAGGCGGGAGAGAAGACACACTGTCTGTAGAAAGCCACTCACGTGCTTTGCTCCTGCCTGAGGCACTCTGTGAATTTCTCAAGTTCAACCCAGCTTCTTGTTGGTGTTAATTTAAACCAGTGGTTCTCAACATTTTTAATGCCGCGACCCCCAACCGATCGTAAGTCTACTCAACCGGTTGTAAGTCGAGGACTACTCAACTGGTGCAGCACCGTTTGCAGAATGGGACTTTTGGCGGGCTCAGCAGGGCAGAGACAGCCTGGACAATTCCTATTGGCTTTTGAAAGCCAATAGAATTAGACTCTATTCAAGAGAGTCTATTCTATTGGCTTTCAAAAGCCAATAGAATAAAAGGGAGTAGCACAGCTAAGGAAAAGGGGGAAAAAATGGCGGACTGCGTTGTTTGGCGACCCCCGTGAAATGGTCGTTCGACCCCAAATGGGGTCCCGACCCACAGGTTGAGAACCACTGATTTAAACTGATGTTACCCCACTGACACGGGGCTTTTTTTTTTTTTTTTTAAATCACCCAGCTTGTGATTCTAAGGGACCGTTTTTGCAATGGCTTTCTCAAGTGCTTGCATTTTTAGCCCCACAGTTTTCGCTTGTACAATATGTTTGGTGCACTTTTTTTTTTTTAAAAAAAAAAAGACGTGTGCTTGTGTGCTAGTTCACAAAATGCATTGCCGAGGTGGCGCAGCAGTTAGGGTGCAGTACTGCAGGCCATTTTAGCTGACTGTGTTCAGCAGGTCAGCGGTTCAAATCTCACCGGCTCAAGATTGACTCAGCCTTCCGGGGTAGGTAAAATGAGGACCCAGATTGTTGGGGGCAATGTAAATATATATATACATTGCTTACTGGTGTACACCGCTTAGAGAGTGCTCGCACTTAAAGCGGTATATAAGTCTCATCAATAAATAAATAAATAAATAAATAAATTGCAAAATCTGAAAAGGAAGGGATGTCGGTACGAAAAGAGGTGGCTTTTAATGAGTCGCATTAAGGACACATTTGCTTTCTCGAATGGACTCATTGAAGCAGCCGCATCAATTCTTCAGAGTCATGCAGCAGCCTAAAAAAAAAAGACCCAGCTGCTTTCAAAAGGCTCGTGCGTCTTTACCTTCTGAATAATATTTGAAGCATGTACAGCCCTGATTTCTAGTTTGCTAATTTAAAAAAAAAAAAATGAAGGGAGCTAACCTAATGCCTCTTTCTGCAGGAAAACCCCTTCAGGCAGAGAATTGTCCACTCTTTCTCGGAGGACCCAGAAGGAAACCTCAGCTTCAATGACTTTGTCGACATGTTTTCTGTACTTAGTGAAATGGCTCCCCGGGAGCTAAAAGCAATTTATGCCTTTAAGATTTACGGTAAGAATAATAACCGGATGGGGGAAAAACTGACTGGGGACTTCTGGGAGTTGAAGTCCACCCCTCTTAAAGCATGCTGGCTGGGGAATTCTGGGAATTGAAGTCCACGGGTCTTAAAGTTGGCAAGGTTGAGAAACTCTGGGGTAGAACACTGTCTAGTATCCTTATGAGAAGCAGCTGAAAATTCCCATCAAGATCTTTAAAATCCTTTTATGATTTATGCCAAGGAATGGAATAATTACAGGTTAGAACAGTGCTTCTCAACCTTGGCAACTTCCAGAGGGGTGGACTTCAACTCCCAGAATTCCCCAGACCCGGTCTAGCATCCTTATGAGAAGGAGCTGAATATTCTCAGCCACAGAGCATGTCTTTCTGGTGGAGGTGTGGCGACTCTGTCAATCTCTCCGTCCAGTCTTTTGGATTTTATAGAGCAAGTGGAAATCTTTTTGTCTTTGTGGCTACTGGCACAACCAACTCACCCTCTCCCCCAAACTTTTTCAGCAAAACCATCTTTCAATGTCAATTCAGTTTTTAATGCCTGCTTTTCACCACATGGTTTCTGGAGGGCTACGAGATCCCAAACCTTTAGAGAAAAAAAAGGAAGGATGTGATTTATTTCCTTCTTTGCAGGAAAGACCTGTCAGATGCCAGACCTTTTCCCAATAAATTTGCCTTGACAGATTTACTGCCCATACACGACCTGCTAAATGTCATGCTGTCGGTTTCTAATTAAATAGAGCTGATGGTAATTCTGCTTATTGAGCGAAGCACAATAAAAAGAAATGTTCAGCCCTGGCCTTTTAATCACCAGCCGGTTGTTCACTTGGTAGATCTGTGATTGAGCTTCAGCGATGGAAGAGAGGAAGAAACACACCTTCTCCAGATGTTTGGTAGATTCCAACCGGGAGAAATGGAACGAAGGGTTGGTGGGGCTGGTTGAAGTTTAGACATCCAAGCCACGTGAAATAAATCAATACGTATTTTCCCAACTATCAAATTTATCAGAAGTTTGGAAAACTTCAATCAATAACAGAATAAGAGAGTTGGAAGGGACCTTGGCGGTCATCTAGTCCAACCCCCTGCTCAGGCAGGAAACCCTATACCATTTCAGACAAATGGCCGTCCAGTCTCTTCTTAAAAACTTCCAGTGTTGGAGCATTCACCGCTTCTGGAGGCAGGTAGTTCCATTGGTTAATTGTTCTCACTGTCAGGAAGTTTTTCCTTAGTTCCAGGTTGCTTCTCTCCTTGATCAGTTTCCATCCGTTGCTTCTTGTCCTGCCTTCGGGTGCTTTGGAGAATAGCTTGACTCCCTCTTTTTCGTGGCAGCCCCTGAGATATTGGATACTTGGCACGGTACAAAAATTCCACCCCATCTACTTATTTCTGTGCAGATATATAGGAAACTCTGAAAAAAAGGGGGACTCCATATCCAACTGACCAGGGTGCGGGCTGGAAGCCGTAGTCCCAGCCAAAGTGAGGGCAGTGAAGAGACATTCTGACAACCCCTTTCTTCTCGGTCTTTGCCTGCCTAGATTTTAACACCGACAACTTCATTTGCAAATCTGACCTGGAGCAAACTCTGAACAAGTTGACCAAAGAAGAGCTGACCAAGGAGGAGGTCAGCCTGGTCTGCGAGAAGGTCATCGAAGAAGCGGACATGGATGGAGATGGGAAGCTTGGATTCTCGGATTTCGAAAACATGATTTCCAAAGCTCCAGATTTTCTCAGGTAGGAGAAGCATGTCCACCACCTGTCAAGGTTCCTGGGCGGTGTCCCTCAACCGTGGCAGCTTTAAAGTGGGTGGACCTCAATTCCCAGAATTCCCCAGGCCAGTATTGTTGGCTGGGGGAATTCTGGAAATTGAAGTCCACAGATCTGAAAGTTGAAGGACACTGCAGTCAGGTTTGAGTAAGTTAGAGATGATCCGAGGAAGGCGTGGAAAACCTGCGTCCAGCCAGGAGATCATTTGCCTCCGGTGGGAATTCAGGGTAGCATTTTCTTGAGACATCATTGGAGAGCAAGGATCCCTAATTGGTGCCCTTTCCTCCTCAATTTTTCTTTCATCGATGGAACGCAAGAGAAGGCCCAAAGTTGCCATCGCTGATAGATAGATAGAAGTGATTAAAATGATACATTTTTCATATATACAAGTAGTCCTTGACTTAACAACAGGTTGCTTAGTGATCGTTCGAAGTTACAAGGGCACTGAAAAAAAGTGCCTTATGATGAGTTTTCACACTTAACGACTGTTGCGGCATCCCCAGGATCCTGTGATTTACATTTGGATTGCTTGACAAATGACTCATATTTATGACGGCTGCAGGGTCTCAGGGAGTCACCTGATGCCCTTTTGTGACGTTCCAACCAGCAAAATCAACATGGGAAACCAGGTTCACTTAACGACCATGTCACTAATTTAACAACTGCAGTGATTCGCTTAACAAACATAGTGAGAAAAGTCGTAAAATGGGGGCAAAATTCGCTTAACAAATTTCTCACTTAGCCACAGAAGTGTCGGGCTCCATCGTGGTCGTACGTTGAGGACTGCCTTCGATTAGTGACCGTTAACAGCCCTTAAAAAAGCGATTTACGGCCGGTCCTCGCATTCACGACCGTCAGAGCATCCCCACAGCCATGTGGTCGTAATTCGGGCTGTGAGCATTACAAATAAGTTGCCATGTTTTGCTTGCGTATCTGTGGGGGAGTGCTGTGTTGGTTGTAAAAGTGAGGACTGGTTCTAAGTCACTTTTCCCAGTGCCATTGTGACTAAACCGTCACTAAATGAATGGCTGTACATTGGGGATGCTTGTCTCTTAGTTTGAAAGGAAATAGATGTTGGAAAGGAATTTTTTTCCCAAGAGCCACCGGCATCGCCCTGATCCGCTCGGTTTGGGCCCCAGGAATGGCTTCCACCGGTCAAAATCCCAAACTTCCCGGCAATGGCAGAAGCACTTACTGATTCTGACAATGTGATCCCTGTGGGATCGTTTCACTTTTTAAAAAATGTGATCATTTTGAGGCCCTGGGCATTTTAATGGCCCCATTAGCACTGCCAGCTGGCCCTCGCTCATTGTTCTGTTCTACAAGACTGGCTACGTTTTTTCCACAGGAAATTGTTTTATAAATCATTATGGAAGCTGGAACTTTCACACACACACACACACACACACACACACACACACACACACACACACACCCCTGTAAGATAGTGGAACATCCCAAAGAGGTAAGTCCATTCAACGTCTTTAATCATGTTGGTTGAAGAAGTGCCATTTGGGCAATTTTGTGATTTAATGCATTTTGTCAATCTAGACCAGGATTTCTTAACCTTAGCAACTTTTAAGATTTGTGGATCTCAAGTTGGCTACTCTCATATTGTTTTGTTGCTTCTCCCCCTCTTCCTTCCTTCCTTCCTTCCTTCCTTCCTTCCTTCCTTCCTTCCTTCCTTCCTTCCTTCCTTCCTTCCTTCCTTCCTTTCCTTCCTTTCCTTCCTTCCTTCCTTTCTCTTTCCCTCTTTCTTTCTTTCTTTCTTTCTTTCTTTCTTTCTTTCTTTCTTTCTTTCTTTCTTTCTTTTTTTCTTTTCTCCTTTCTTTCTTTCTTTCTTTTTCTTTCTCTTTCTTTTCTTTTCTTTCTTTCTTTTTTCTTTCTTTTTCTTTCTCTTTCCCTCCCTCCCTCATCATTCTTTCTTTTTCCCTCTTCCTTCCTCCTTCCCTGTTTACTTTGCAGCACCTTCCACATACGAATCTGAAATCCATGGGGCTGAGCCACTGGAAGCCAGGCTGGCTGACGTGTTCTTGGCTTTCTCCTCCTCTCTTCCTGGATGCTGCAGCAAAGGACTCAACTGAATCCTGGCCCAGCAGATGCAGGACTGTTTTCCAAGATCTTCGGAATATCCCTGGATGATTATTACTAACTTGGTTTTTTTAAAAACAAAAACAAAAACCCATAATGGGCCACTCACCTTGTGGGACGTACAGATGCCAGACTGTTATTTTTTTAAACTGGACCAGCGAGTCGCCCGTGTGATTCTCTGTCATTTTTATACCTGTCTATACTAGCCCTCTGTGCAAAAATCAGACAAAATCCCAAGGGCAACTTGAAAGAGATGCGAATCTCCCCGAAATGACTTGATCAAACCGAAGCGCTGGAACTCCTAAGGCAGTGGTTCTCAACCTTTTTAATGCCGCGACCCCCAACTGGTCATAAGTCGAGGACTACTCAACCGGTTGTAAGTCGAGGACTACTCAGCTGGTGCAGCACCGTTTGCAGAATGGGGCTTTTGGCGGGCTCAGCAGGGCAGAGACAGCCTGGATAATTCCTATTGGCTTTTGAAAGCCAATAGAATTAGACTCTATTCAAGAGAGTCTTTCAAAAGCCAATCGAATAAAAGGGAGTAGCACAGCTAAGGAAAAGGGGGGGAAAATGGCGGACTGGGTTGTTTGGCGACCCCCGTGAAATGGTCGTTCGACCCCAAATGGGCTCCCGACCCACAGGTTGAGAACCACTGTCCCAAGGGAAGGAGGTTCCCTGGTTTTTAAACCAGGCGACCCTCCCAGCTGGATTCGTGCGGCAGAAGAAGACTGCCGGCGCCCGGAACGAGATGCTTCATCAGCCAAGGTTGGGCAAAGGCTTCTCTCCTTAATGAAACTTGAACTATTTCCTTTTCCTTCCCTCCGCCTCTCATTGTTGCATTAGCAAATCAATGCCTCTCCAGTCACGGAGACAGCAACACACGAACATGAACATCGGCGGCATTCAGGCCTTCTCTCATATCCTGATTGCATTAGGCTGACCGATTGCAAAAAATAAACACAACAAGGAAGCGAAACGAAAGAAAACCAAGGGGGAACACAAACACAACCTGTACCTTCGCCAACGCACAGCCCGGGGTGCCAGCGAGGCCACCTTTCTCGTGGGATGATGCGTTGGCCACCCGTGATTCCTCTTTTCTCCTAAACCAGCTGCATTTCGTATTTTCTTTTCGGTTTGGGTTCTTGGCCAACCAACTAGGCCTGATGACAATCATCTCTTGCCACCGTTTTCACACAATCTCCTGGAAGGGCTTTGCTACCTATCGTGTGGCTTCTGTAAACGATCCAGAATTAAAATGTCTGCCAGTTTTACTGGCCTTGGGTGGTTTTCTTTTTGGGTTCGCCTTTGAAAGAAACGGCTCTGCTTGTTTTGTTTTGTTTTATCGATCCGATTTATTTTGGCTGCCCATGTCAGGGAAAGCCACTCTGGACCTTGTGCAGCAGTCCAATCAAAACAGGACAGAAATAAGACAGTGGTGATACAGTAATTGTTACAAAGAGTTAGAAATTATTAGAAGAAAAAATGTGTGGCTTGTGGCGATTATTGTTATTATTATTATTCGCTGATTTTTAGCCCAGAAGAAGCCATGAAAAGAGGCGATAGGGATTGTGGTTTTTTTGTTTTGAGGGAAAAGAGCCATTCAAATTCATACATTCCCCCCCCCCCAAATTTGCCAAATCTGTTTAGTTACTGTGGCAAAAAAGAAAAAAAAGGGAGGGGGGCAACAGTGGTCTCCCCAATTTCCAGGGTAGTGCCATTTATTTATGGCATTAGGCAGTAAATGTCAATGGAACAACCTACTGTGTTACAATAATTTAGTTTATTCAAGTTAAGGATAATTAAACTTAAACAAAGACAAGTAAAGATTTGTGACCTTCCCAGCTGGCTTCTGATAAATCAAAGGGGGAAGGCAGATTCAGTTAATGACCATAAAGATTCACTTAACAACTGCAGTGGTTTGCTTAGGAGCCCTGGTGGCCCAGTGGTTAGAATGCAGCATTGCAGGCTGACTCTGCCCACAGCCAGGAATTCGATCCTTACTGGCTCAAGGTTGACTCAACCTTCTGTCCTTCTGAAGTCGGTAAATGAGGACCCAGATTGTTGGAGGGCGCAAAAGGCTGACATTTGTAAACTGCGGTATATAAGTCTTAAGTGCTATTGCTATTGCTACTAACAAAACAGTGGCAAAAAAAAATCATAACATGCCTTACTTAACAACCACTTGCTAGCAGCGTGAAATTCAGGTCCCAGTTGTGGACATAAGGCGAGGACCACCTGCACTAACAACAGTGGCTGTTTCCATGTTTTATGCCAGGGCCCAGCCAACAAATTCTGATTTAGTCAGTATCACTTCCCCCAGACAGGACCCAGCGTGCTAGCCGTCAGCCAAAACCTGCATCCGTTTACTTGGAAGTAAATAACAGCAAAAGCGAGATGATTAAATCTGCTTGCAAAGCCTTAAAACAGGACATGGAAGTCAATTTCCTAATGAAAGGGGGGGGGGAATTGGACTCCTGGGTAACCCTTTGTTCACCCTGCAGTGATGGAAATTAATCAAGTCATTAGGGATTTCTTATTTATTTTTTAAAGCAAACGGTTCTTCCTTTTTGCTTTCTGCTTTTCCTTCCAATTAAGCTCCGTTTAATGTCGTGGCAAAGAGTGTGGGGTAAACCGGAGCGGGCAGAGGGGAGTCGAGGACAAATTGTTACCCAAAAAGATTTATTTTGGCTTCTGAGAAGAACTGCCAATCACCCCTCAAGGCTGCTGGGAGAGGATTTCTGTTTTACCATGTCTACCAATCATCATAAGGGAAGGAGGAGTGGGAAAACTCCTCTGCTGACCACGGGAGTCATAATTCCTCTTTATAGTTCCTGGAAAATTTACCGCTAAATCTTCTCACATAAGGATAGTCCTTGGTTTACAACCACAGTCGGGGAGGGGGGGAATCAGAATTTCATTGCTAAGCAAGGCGGCTGTTAAATCAATCGTGCTCAACTTTATGATCTTGGTGGCCACTGTTGTTAAGCGAATCACATGGTCATTAAACGAACCCAGCTCCTCCCATTGACTTCGTGTGTCGGAAACCGGCTGGGAAAGTCACAAATGGTGATGCTGCAACCTAACATAAATTCTATGCTGGTTTTCCAAGCGCCCACATTTGGACGGGACCGTGGGGACGCTCGCAAAGGTCATAAGTGCGAATCGTAGGTCACTGTGGTAATTTCAAACAGTCACTAAATGAATGGTCAAGGGCCATCTGCACAATCCTTGGGGATTTCCCCCACCCATACAAGCCGTCCTTGACTTGCAACTGTTCATTTAGTGACCGTTTGATGTTACACTGGCGCTGAAAAAAGTGAGCTACGGCCTTTTTTCCTACATTTAGTGACCACTGCAGCCTCCCTCCAGTCAGGTGATCAGAATTGGGACACACGGCAACTGACTCACATTTATGATGATTGCAGTGTCCCCTGGGGTCACGTGATCCCCTTTTTGCACCTTCTGACCAGCAAAATCAACGGGGAAGCCAGATGCTAACTGGTCAACTGCAGTGATTCACTTAACAACCGTGGCAAAAAGCAATGGAGCAAAGCTCAGTTAACCGCTGTCTCGCTTAGCCACAGAGGTTTTGGGCTCAATTGTAGTCATATGCCGAGGACTACGGTACCCGTACAGCCCTTGGGGCCTCATCCTGTTGATACTGCTCTAGCCCCTCTAGCTAGCCTAAAGTCCAACCTCCAAGCTCTCTGAAAGGGGCCGTCCAGCTGAGTGGCCGCTGGCTGGCAGGAGAAGTGACCCAAAGGCTGGGCAGGGCTTTCATCCAACATAGCGGCCTGCGGCATTTCTGGCGGATTGTTTCCGTAGCAACTGTGCCTCTGGTTCTTGAGTGGTGGCCTTGGGGAGAGAGGTTCGGTTCAGAGCCCCATCCAAATCGGCGCCTTCAGGATTTGGCCTTCTTCTCCGCAAAGAGGAACTTTCTGGGCTTCTCGCTCTGCTGGGGAAAGAGAGGGGCACTGGTCAGAGAGACCCTTCCCAGGAGATGAAGCTCTGCACACACCTGGTGAGGTGGAAACCGGGAGCATCAGTGGCTGGAAGTGGCTCTCCATTTGCTTGGATGCTGTACTGCAGAGGCCCCCAACCTTTTGGGCACCAGGGACCAGTTCCACGGAGAGAGGTTTTTCCGTGGACCGGAAGGGGTTTTGTGTGCTGCCTGCATCCTGTGGATGAGGTTTTCCTTGTTTGTGCAGACCAGTTGCTGGCATGCCACGGCCCAGTACTGGTCCATGGCCCCGGGGGTTGAGGACCCCTGCAGCGTTGGGTTTGGTTTTTTGTTCAAATTCAATTGAATTCAGGAGATTCTGTCTCTCCATCCATCCATCCATCCATCCATCCATCCATCCATCCATCCATCCATCCACCTACTGATCTATCCATCTCCCCTTCCCTTCCTTTCTCTCTCTCTCTCTCTCTCTCTCTCTCTCTCTCTCTCTCTCTCTCTCTCTCTCCTTCCTTCCTTCCGTCCTTCCTTCCTCCCCTCCCTCCCTTCCTTCCTTCCCTCCCTCCCTCCGTCCCTTCTACCCTTCCCTACCCTACCGTCTCGTCTTCTCCCCTCCCTTCCCTCGCTTTTTCTCTCCCTCTCCTTCCTTTCTTCCTTCCTTCCTTCCTTCCTTCCTTCCTTCCTTCCTTCCTTCCTTCCTTCCTTCCTTCCTTCCTTCCTTCCTTCCTTTTCTTCCTACCCTACTCTACCCTACCCTACCGTCTCCTCCCCTTTCCTCCCTTCCCCTCCCCTCCCCGCATTTTGGATATTAAATCTAGATAATGCTTTCTTTTAATTGACTGTACCCATCATCCCCTACTTTTCTCACTGAATTCTCTGAAACCAAAGCAGACCATCCTCGGGGTTGGCCCCTATTATGTACCCCTTGAAAAGGAATCTCCTATTTATGAGCCACTTCCCCTTAACCAGGGGGAGGGGAGGGGATATTCAAGGTTACATACCTTTTGGGTGACCTTTCCTTCTATTCTTTTCCCTGGCAGGTAGGGGATTTGCTCGTAGGGGTCCTCCAGAGCTGCGGCTTGACTTGTGTTTGAGGAGCCCTGGGCGTAAGGATCAGGTATTTTTTCATATGGACTCTCAGGGTTGATGTGAATCTTGGAGGACTGACCAAACTTTGTGGAGATCTGATCATAAGACCCTTTGGACTTGGCCAGTGAAGCCTTAGGAAGCTTTTCTGAACCAAGGAAGATACCTTTTGCCCACCTGAAAGATTCCTGAGTATTAGATGTATTGTCCGCCCATAAGGTAGAACGTTGGTTTTTCAGCTGAAAGACCTTCTCCTCCATGGGTTCCTTTGGGGGTTCAAACCAGGACTTGGGCTGCTTTAGTTGTCCATGTTCTCTGCTGCCCATAGACCCCAGATTGATCCCAAGAGGAGATTCGTGGAACTCCCTTAAATATTTGGATTTATTCAGCAGCGTAGAAGATAATTTTGAAGGCGGATAATTAGAGACAGCTGATTTCTTGGATGATGGAAAGGCGGACTGATGACTGTGGGGCCCAGCAGATATCCAAAAGCTTTTGGGTTGGTCAAGGGTAATCCTAGAATAAATAGGTTCTGGTTGAGCTGTCTCTGCAGGATTCACTTTCATGGTGAATGGTGTGTCTGATTGCTTGGTCAATCCAAACACGGTTCCTGTCTTCCTTCGGCAAGGAGAGGAATGACCGTGGCCCGGTCCTTCAGGTTCCTTTGCCTTAGTGTCCCCAAAATTTCTGCACCCCTCTTTTGACTTTCCCAAGCCCCTGTTGTCTAGAGGAGGCTTCTTCACAGCCGAATACATGGTTCCTTCATCTACAATCTCTTCCTCCAGAGACAGGGACTCCAGCAAACGGGACCTGTGTGGTATAGGTGGGATGGCATCTGGATCTCCCTGTGTTGGTGAAAGGCAAAGAAGGAAAAAGACAATTGCAAAGAAGAATCTTCTTGATTGAAGATCTCAAAAGGATCTGGCTATGGATTCTTTCTTGCCGTAACAGTCAAAGAAGGAAAATAAAATCTTCCCAGTAACCAACCCTGGAAGTCATACCTCTTCAAACAGGGAGGAACCTCAGAGGGGTCATAATTAATTACTACCAATTCCTTCCCCTTCAGAAAATGATCTCATTTACCCCTTGGCAGTTTCCCACCCTGTCAGATGTTGAGACTGATCTATGGAGTGCAATTGTCTCTGGAGAGGGAGCAGGTTGAGGATATTTTAACCCAGTGCCCCCAAATATTGCATCTTGTGACAGTAAAGGATATCACCGAACAGTAAACGCCATGATTGAACTTGGCTTCTTCTGAATATCTCACCAGGAGTTACATCGCCATGATGAGGATAACTCTGATCAAAAAGTGAGCCGTCCATGAAGATCCTTGCATATGACCCAAATTGTCAGAATCCAATTATACTTCATCTCCAGTTATCAATTATAGAAAACCCCATTTCTACTCTCTCTGGATTCTGTCATACAAGAAAGGGAAGGAGGTGAACAAAGGGGCTTTATGGCCCTCACTTCCTTCGGTACAACTTCAAAGGGATTGAATGTGGATAGCACCAAAAGGACTAATCATAACAAAGGGGGCTATTACCTTTCATGTAGTTTTCTCTGAAGTCTCCATCCAGCCGGCAGTAAGGACAAGGGGGTGGGATTGTGATGCCTGAAACTGTCGCTGGAAGGGGGGAGTGATTGGGTGGGACTACTGGGGAACCCCTTAAAACCTTGAATGGGAGAGCTTGGACCCCAAGTCCTGTCTAGAACGCCTGCAACCATTTTCTCTTAATAAAGGATGCCTGTTGGAAGAATTATTCCAAGAGTTCTGTCTTCTTAAGATGCAAAGTGGGGTGGGTCCTTACACAAACTTTGGATTCCTCTACCTTTCAGTTTCCATGCATGCAAAGCAGGGATTCACCCACCCCCCACAGTCTGAAGGACATGAGCTTGCAGGAAGACGGTTTAGATCACTCTCCAAAACCTACTTTTGAATTCTGACATTCTTTGAAACAAGACTTCTGCTCTTCTTGAGGTGGAATCCTTGGATGTCCTGGCTGATTGGTGAATTTACTCCAGGTAACCAACAAATCGGCAGAGGGGCTCCTGCTCAACGCTGGAGCATCTGCACAGGGACTTCGATCTGAAGATATTTCATCATATATGCTTTTCTCCTCCATCTATGAAAATGGAAAGAACATGGAGAAGATACAGCATGCTGGACAATTACCGTTCATTCAGAAATGCATGTAAGGTTCTAGATAACTTCCTAGTAGTTCAAGTTCTTTGGGCAGCTCGGAGACCCTGGACCCAAAATGTCATCCCAAACTTTAAAAATAAAACTCTTGAAGGCCACAGCGATTGTACACCAATGGCCATTCCAAAAGTCAAACTTTAGCTCCTAGGAAACTTCCCCCTGATGCTAAAATGATGCTGAAATTCTTGGGTGAAGAAGGATGTCCCGGTCTATCTGAGGAGGCTTCAAGGAAGGCAGATTGCAGCCCTCTAGGACAGGTTGAGTGGGAAGACAGGAATGCTTAGCTACATGCAGCTGAACAGGCAGATGATAATTGGCATAATATCAGCAGCCCAACCCACCTTGGGACAGGCCGATGTGAGGCTCTCTCCAAAAGGCTGAATTTCAGACCTCTGGTAATAGCTGATCAATTCAGCCAAATTTGGATGCATCCGAGTGTCTCCGGATACGACATACTGGCCATTGCGCTGGCAGCTGATGACAAAATGGCGGCACCGGTCCTTCCCTCTGCAAGTCAAAAAGAAGGCCATCTGAGGAGGAGAGCTGTCCCCCGTCTCTTCTTCACTCTCCAGTCTCACTTTCCGAAGAAAAAAGTCATGTAGATTTCCCAGGGAAGCCGAGTTGAATTTCCAGCTAATTCCAGATCATCCAGTTGGTGCCATCGTTCCTTCCGTGGTATATCTGGGCTCCGCCTTTCATTTGCCTCTATCTCTTGCCTGCCCAGGTGCTCTTTCTTTCTTTCTTTCTTTCTTTCTTTCTTTCTTTCTTTCTTTCTTTCTTTCTTCCTTCCTTCCTTCCTTCCTTCCTTCCTTCCTTCCTTTCCCTTCCCTTCCCTTCCCTTCCTTTCCTTTCCTTTCCTTCCCCCCCTCTCTCGCCTGCCCAGTTTCTTTCTTTCTTTCTTTCTTTCTTTCTTTCTTTCTTTCTTTCTTTCTTTCTTCCTTCCTTCCTTCCTTCCTTCCTTCCTTCCTTCCTCCCTCCCTCCCTCCCTTCCCTTCCCTTCTCTTCCCCCTCTCTCTCGCCTGCCCAGGTTCTTTCTTTCTTTCTTTCTTTCTTTCTTTCTTTCTTTCTTTCTTCCTTCCTTCCTCCTTCCTTCCTTTCCTTCCTCCCTCCCTCCCTCCTTCCCTTCCCTTCTCTTCCCCTCTCTCTCGCCTGCCCAGGTTCTTTCTTTCTTTCTTTCTTTCTTTCTTTCTTTCTTTCTTTCTTTCTCTTGCCTTCCTTCCTTCCTTCCTTCCTTCCTTCCTTCCTTCCTTCCTTCCTTCCTTCCTTCCCTTCCCTTCCCTTCCCTTCCCTTCCCTCTCTCTCTCACCTGCCCAGGTTCTTTCTTTCTTTCTTTCTTTCTTTCTTTCTTTCTTTCTTTCTTTCTTTCTTTCTTTCTTTCTTTCTTTCTTTCTTTCTTTCTTTCTTTTCCTTTCCTTCCCTTTTTCCTCCCTTCCCCCCTCCCTCCCTTCACACAGCACATCATGCAAAGCCTCCTTCCCTTCCTTCCCATGTGGTTTAGTTGCTTTCAGTCCAGAAAGATTTCTCTGCCTGAGATCCTGCCTGCATTCTTTGCCCCAGAGCAAAAGGCTGAAACGCTGACCTAGAGAAAGCCAACAGTCCATCTTCACGGCCACTCAGGGGCTGAATTCAGGGTCGCAGAGCGCCAGAGTGTGAAGAAAGAGACCAAGCCCAACAGGGATTCGGGAAGAGGGAGATTCGCACCAGGAACGGAGACTTTTCTTGCCCCTGAGAGGAGGGAAACTGCAGCACCTACCTGTAGGAAAGGATGTAGCCGAAAGCTCTTTCGTTCAGCCTGATCAGGAAGCAGCCAAACTCTCTGGTCTCCAGCAGCATCTCGGTTTCCCTGATACGAGAGAAGAATGTTGACAAAGATTCCTTTTTTAAATATAAAAGAGGCTTCAAAGGTAAACATGGAAAAAAAAAACATTAAGAAAAACAGAATGCCATTCACATCATCTGAAAATGTGTGTGGCTTCCAAGCCACGTCTCCTACTTCAGAAGGCAGATGCAACGGGCCGAAATTCTGCTGCCTCTCCATCAGAAAAGGGTTTGTTCGCTTACTGTCTAGTCAGGAATCCATGGAACCAGTCTGGTAACCTGCCACCTTGCCACAGGAGATCAGCCTGGGTTTCCAGGAACCATCTTAAGACCAGGTCTTTAAGCATCTCTGACGCTTGCCTCTCCCTTTCTAGGGGGGACGGTTTTCCTGAGGAGGGGGGTCCCCCCGGCTGGTTCTGCATCCTGCCTTCCAGAAGAGATGCAAAATGTCCCAGGGAACCGGATATATATATATTCTTTCTTTCTTTTTTTTTTTTACAGCTTCCCAGCACACTCATTTGCTTACTGTACTTCGCTGGCCTTGCTGGATGGCTGAAGCCATTCATCAGATCAAATGTCCTCATTTGCAGAGTTGACAATTTGGCTTGTGACCAGGCCGGCCCCAAGCTCACATCCTAAGGAAAGGAAGTCTCTTTTCCCCATCAGAGACTAATTCTACTTTGGGTGGATGGCTGTGGGCATTAACAGGCTTTAACCTGGTTAGAACCTGGGCCTGTAGTCATGGGATGGGTTTGTCCTGTTTATCAGGTAGAAATTGGAAAAGGAAGAGAAGGGAAGGGAGGAGGGAAAGAGAAGAAAAGAAAAAAGAAAAGGGAGAAGGGAGGGAGGAAGGAAGGAAGGAAGGAAGGAAGGAAGGAAAGGGAGGGAGGGAGGGAGGAAGGAAAAGAAGGAAAGGAAGGAAGGAAGAAAAAGTAAAGGGAGGAAGGGAGGGAAGGAAGGAAGGTAGGGAATTCTGGGAGTTGAAGTCCACACATCTTCAAGTTACCAAGATTAAGAAATACTGCACTAAGCAGTCGTTCATTCTTTTTTTTTATTATTTAAAATTTTTACAAAAAACAACCCTACCCAACCCACCCCAACCCTCCCGCTCCCTCCCCCAACCTTCCCAGAGCTGAATATAGGCTTAGTTAAAATTTCTTAAAGTCTTAAAAAAAAATATAGACCATAAATGAATCTGGATACATTACTTAAACAACTTATAAAATGATTAACAATAATATATCTGTAAAAAAAACATAAATATTAGAAAAAAAATGCTTAAAAAGAAAAAGAATAAAAAAAGGAAAGAAGAAAAGAAATATAAGAAAGTAAAATAAAAATAAAAAATATAAGGAAGAAGAAAAAAATACAATCTATAAAATATTAAAATTTATATATAAGTTATTGAAAAACTAAATAATATTTTTTTATATCCAACTTATGTTGTATAAAATCTATCCATTTTTCCCAAACCGCAAAATACTTCTCTTGCGATTGATCCTTTAAAAAAGCCGAAATCTTTGCCATTTCCGCCAAGTAAGAAACTTTAAAAAACCACTCTTGCAAAGTAGGCAAAGATGCAGTTGTTCATTCTTGCCATCTTCCTTTTGTGGGCCACATCCTCTAGATCAGACATGTCAAACATGCGACATCACGTGACATTGCGCAATGTATTGGGACGGTTTTGCCATTGCCGGCAATGGGGTGGATGCAGCTTCCGGATGACGTGTCCAGCCCATGGGCCGGCAGTTTGACACTCCAGTGGTGTGTATGGCATCTGAACACTATATTGCCACTTTGATCTTGGCTTGGACCCTCTCCTGTTATACCAGGAAGCTAAAGAGAACCAACAGTGGATGCTTGACAATCTCTGGCCAAGCCCAATTATCCTACTTGTCCAGTTACATTAACAGAATCTTGCAAATCTGCAAGTGGGTCTCCCTCCTTTTCCTTTTACTCTATGGAAAACTAAGCAGGGTCCCTTCTAAGATGCTGCCCACACTCCTTTCCCGTGGGATGGGGGGCTCAGCTGCCTCTTCTCTGTCCATTGCCTCCTCTGCAGCTCTTCCTCCTCTCTCCCAAGGTCATTCTCACATACCATCAAAACTACCCCAGTTCTCATTAATGGTCACCCTGAAGGGGTCTGCAACCCCCTCGCTCACTTCGTCCTGTTCCCTCCCTTGCCGACTTCCCTCGCATGGCAGGGCAGCAGAAAACCATGCAAATCACCCCAGCCATTCCTGCGTGAATTGTAGGGGAAAATGCAAATGTGGGCCTGTTAGTGAACAGCATCATTTTACATTCAAAGCCACCCGAATCCAAACAAAAGAAAGTGGAAAATATGTAAATGCTGCAGACTCTGCCCAGTTCCTAGATGGAATCAGTTGAACTTGCTTTCAAATTGAATATTTTCAGTTCTAGGACAGTCTAGAGCCGTGGTGGCAAACCTATGGCACACGTGCCACAGGTGGCACACAGAGCCCTCTCTGGGCACTCGCGCCATTGCCCCAGTCCTAGGCCTTCAGCTGGGTTTTATAAAACCTTTTCGCTTTAGGCCTCCGCCGCTGTGTGCAAAAAAAAAAAAAAAGTTCAATCAATCAATTTCAACTTCTCGCAGAAAAAAAAAGATCTCGCAAATTTGGAATTGATTGATTGAACTTTTTAGTCCCACCCAGTCTGCCATTACCACCACAGCCATGCCCACCCCATCATCTGTAATTCCTTGAAGCAAGAACTTATCAGAACCAATTCAGAAAGTGTTGCCTTCATGCCAAGACCCAGAATTTGTGAGAATATTTTGATGTTGTGGTCTCTGCAATCACTAGCAAAATGTTCTTTTCTTCTACCCATCCAAATAAAATGGCTTAACAAGACGGTATTCATCTCTTAACAGTGATTTGTTGAACATTGCTGGAATATTTTTTCTGAATAAAGAAAAACAAAGCCGGTTGGTTAATTCTGCAGGTTGTTGTCCTACCCTGTCTGGAGGGCGCAACTTGGTGGAAAATGTTAAAAGTTATTAAAATCTTTATGATGGGGATATAAATGTATCGGACCTCTTTTGAAAACATTTAACTGTGGGTAGGGAAGAGTTCCAATAACAGAAAAAGGAAGAAATAGTTTCAAATTTGAGTCAATTTCTTTCACTGGGCAAGACACTATGTATCAGAAATTCTATTATAACATTTTAGCAGAGTCCCTAGAAAGCAAAGCAAAACAAAACAAAACAAAACAAACCAGTCCTGGACTTTTTTTCTTAAAGAAAAAAAGACTGAAAAAAAATAACAAATTCAAAATAAAACCAAGGGCTGCCTTGCAAGATTGTGACAGGGTGGGAAGATGCAAACAAAAAACAGAAAAAGAGCTTTGAATTTTAGGTGGAGGGGACGACCCACCAACCAGAAGGGCAATCTGTTGCGAGAGAGGCAATCCCCATCACCCCCCCCCCACCAAGGCTGGCTAATGGGACCTGTAGTCCAAAGTATCTCTAGAGCAGTGGTTCTCAACCTGTGGGTCGGGACCCCATTTGGAGTCGAATGACCATTTCACGGGGTCACCAAACCATGCTGTCCGCCATTTTTTTCCCTTTTCCCTAGCTGTCCTACTCCCTCTTATTGGTGGCCACACCCACTTGGGGGTCACCACAACATGGGGAACTGTATTATGGGGTCACGGCATTAGAAAGGTTGAGAATCACTGCTCTAGAGGAATATTTCTTCAGCTTGGCAATTTGAAGAGGTGAGGATTTCAGCTTCTCGACTGGCTGAGGAATTCTGGGAGTTGAAGTCCACAACCTCTTCAAGTTGCCAAGTTTGAAAAACACTGGGTTAAATTCAAGAAGGCACTAAACCATAATTTTTTTTTTTTTATCAGCCACAACTAGCTGATAAACCATCAAAGTTGACACCCAACGAATTTCCTGAGATGCAGGGAAATGTGCAAGTTTATTTTCTGCCTTTTTTGGGGGGCAGGATATAACTTTTATTAAGTAGTTTTTAAAATAAAAGATACATGGTACAAACTAATTTAAAATAAGGAAAAGAAAGACTTCGAAGAGAAAGCTGAAAATGCAACAAAGGAAAAAAGGTAAAAGAAACAGATAATAACACACACACACACACACACATCAAGAAGTGGCTTCCAATCTTTTTTACAAAAGTTACAAGTACAATCGTAAATTTATCTCTTACTCTATGATTATAACACAACTCACGTTTTAACCATTATTTTTGTTCCTAATCATCAAAGAAAGTCCAAAGTTCCTTTTTGTTTGTAGCTCTTGCTAATGTCACTTGTGTTCCCTAATTTGTTTGTTCCCTTTCCCTTTTTTCGTTTGCTTTTTGTGTTTTATATTTTTTTGAAATGTAATAACGTTTTTATTTAAAAACCATAAATAATAATTTCAATTTTGTCAAAAAAAAAGAAAAGAAAAAAGTCCTGAAGAGGTTTCCAGTCCCAATAAAAAAGTAGATATTGTCTTTTTGTTGACCAAGGAAGTCAATTTAGCCATCCCACAGGCTTGTTTTCTGCACACAATATTTCGTATTTCCCTCATCTAATTGCAAGGCTGATTTCAATTCTCCAAATCCTTTTACAAGACGAAGGGCGGAAATGTTGCTGCGCCCTCTAGTGGCTCATATGAGTAATGTCCTTAGCACTAGAGTCGCCAGAAGGTGCATTTGGATTTTGCAGATTTTAAACAACGCAAAGTAAATGTTAAGTCTTAACAGGAAGCTACCTCCAAAGACAGAGAGTAATCCCCCTCCCTTCTAGCACTGATGATGTTACCTAATTGGATAATGAAACATCTGCAAAGAAACAACCAAGCCTAGAGAGCACCAAGGACCCCACAATCCTCCTCCTCCACAACATCATCATCATCATTATAGTAAACAATGGCTCTGACTTCCATTCTAATGAAAAGAAGACTAGGGGTGACATGATAGCAGTGTTCCAATATTTGAGGGGCTGCCACAAAGAAGAGGGGAACAACCTATTTTTCCAAACCACCCAAAGGCCAGACAAGAAACAATGGATGGAAACAAATCAAGGAGAGAAGCAATCTGGAACTAAGGAGAAACTTCCTGACAGTTAGAACAATTAACCAATGGAACTGCTTGCCTCCAGGAGCAGTAAATGCTCCAACACTGGAAGTTTTTAAAAAGAGACTGGACAGCAATTTGTCTGAAATGGTATAGGGTTTCCTGCCTGAGCAGGGGGTTGGACTAGAAGACCTCCAAGATCCCTTCCAACTTTGTTATTTTTACTCTACTCTACTCTACTCTACTCTACTCTACTCTACTCTACTCTACTCTACTCTATTATATTATTATATTATATTATTATTATATTATCATATCATATCATATCATATCATATCATATCATATTCTTCTAAAGAACTTGGGTGTGGTAACGATTTCAGCCCATCAGCGGTTTTGAAAGGGGAACAGTTTCAAATATAAGTTTCATAGACTTTCATGCATTTCCTTTTGCTCCTATTTTTGGCTCTTCAGTGAAGGCAGAACTTCCTCTTTCTTCCTTTGCTCAAGTAGCTTTTGAGAGCCGAGCGAAGAAGATGAGAAACGGAGACATGTTTTGCTTAGCGGTGAGGATCCCGTGCTGCCTCCTGACTCTCCTGTGGCTCAGAGAAGCTGCAGGTACGGCTCTAATCATGCCTCCTGGTTTGGTTTCCTTGGACAGTGTCTCTTTTTGTCACTGGGAATTTGTCACGGGGTGGAATTCAGGATGTGGGATCTACAGGAAACACTTGGGGCCAAGCCAAAGAGGAAGACAGCCTCTCCATCTGCGTCTTGGCTGCATTCCTCTTTGCTTTACTTTGGAGATAGGTTTTGGGGGCTTGGTTCTGGTTTGGATTTAGTTAGGGTTGTCCTCAACCTACGATCACAATTGAATCCAAAACTTCTGTCGCTCGGCCGAGACAGCTGTTAAGTGAAGTTTGCCCGATTTTGTGACCTTTCTTGCACAGAAGTGTGAAGTGAATCACTGTTACTAACTTAGTAACTTGGGTTGTTAAAGGACTCTGGCTTCCCCATTGTCTTTGCTTGTCAGAAGGTTGCAAAGGGGGATCACATGAGCCCCCCTTCCCAGGACCCTGCGACCGTCATATTCATCAATTGCCAAGTGTGTGTGAATTTCAATTTGTTGACCCTGGGGTTGCTGCAACGGTTGTAAGTGTGAAAAATGATCATATGTTGCTTTTTTTAGTGCTGTTGTAACCAACTGTGGTAAATCAAGAACTATCTTATTTATTTAATTTTTTTAATTAATTTTCTAATTTTACATTTAGGTATTTAAAAAGCAATGTGGTGGCTGGGTTAATCAGTAGTTTAGTAACATACAATTTTTTTTAATACAAATCTCAAACTACAACCTCAAATATTTCCTCTCTTTTTCCCTTAATATCTAATATCTCATATTTAAGCTAATATGGTTCTTATTATATCAACTAAATAAAAACATCATTATTACATTTATCAATAAGTTTTTAGCTCATACATATCATAATAACTTTTACATTCAATCTTTACATTGAATCAGATGATTTAAGATGGGAGGAAATAGATAACTTTTAGGAAATAGAACAAGATTATATCCAAAGAGATAAGATGTGTATTTGGAATATTAGTTTCTGTTATGAACTGAGATAAAGGAAACTTTGGTTACCTAAAACCTGGAAATTATAAATGTCAAATGTTAAATTTGAATATTGAGGGGAAACCAAAAATTGGGCAAAACTAATAACAGGATATTGATTGAATGTAAAGATTGAATGTAAAAGAACTGTCTTATTTATTGTCTTTACTTCCCAATGGGGTAGCAGTTCTTTATTCAGGAGTGGGATACAACTTGGGAGTTTTCGTGGACTCACAGCTCACCTTTGAACTGCTTTCTAAAGCCTGAGTGAGGCCACACCTGGAATCCTGCATCCGGTTTTGGTCACCAGATTACAAAAAGACGTTGAGACTTTGGAAAAAGTGTAGAGAAGAGCAACTAAGATGATTAAAGGCCTGGAAACAAAAGAAAGGTTGCAGGAACTCGGTATGGCCTGTCTAGAAAAAAGAAGGTGACATGATAGCAGCCTTCCAATATTTGAGGGGCTGCCACATCGAGGAGGGCATCAATTTATTTTCCAAAGCACCAGAAGGCAGAACAAGAAGCAATGGATGGAATCAAGGAGAGAAGCAACCTGGAATTAAGGAGGAATTTCCTGGCAGTGAGGACAATTAACCAGGGGAACAGCTGGCCTCCAGAAGTTGTGGGTGCTTCATTCCTGGAAGTTTTTAAGAAGAGACTGGACAGCCACTTGTCTGAAATGGTAGAGGGCTTCCTGCCTGAGCAAGGGGGCTGGACTAGAAGACCTCCAAGGTCCCTTCCAGCTCTATTCTGATTGATTGAACCCATCTATGGGAGGGGGAGGAGGAATATGCTGGAGACTGCCAGGAGTTTAGGGTTAATCTCCAAGGTCCCTTCCAACTATTATTATTACTATTACTATTATTATTATTGATCATCGCACAGTCAGCCAGATGTTCAGACTGGATTTGGCATTTTGTCTACCTATCAAGTCCTTACCCAGGACCTGGGATAGGCAGATGTGGATGTTTGCTGGTATTACAGATATCATCGCAGGATGGAAGCAGTTCCTAGTAAGGCCGCCTATTGCAATTGACTAATAGCGAATTTGTCAATGCCAATGGTGTTCAAGTGGTGCTCCAGTTGTTTTGGGATTGCACCCAAGGAGCCTATCACTATTGGTACTACCCTTGCTTGCTTTTGCCACAGTCTTTCTATTTCTATTTGTAGGTCTTTGTATTTTGCTATCTTCTCCAGTTCTTTCTCTTCTATTCTGCTGTCTCCAGGCACTGCCACGCCCACTATCCAGACTTTTTTGTCTTTCTTATCGACAATTGTTAAGTCTGGGATGTTATGTTGCAGATGCTTGTCTGTTTCAATTCTGAAGTCCCAGAGCAGTTTAATTTTATCATTTTCTATGACTTTCTCTATTTTATGACCCCACCAGTTTTTGCCTACAGGCAAATGATGTTTTTTGCAGATCTTCCAATGCACCATTGTTGCTACTTTGTCATGCCGCTGCTTGTAGTCGAGTGGTTCTCAACCTGTGGGTCGGGACTCCATTTGGGGTCGAACGACCATTTCACAGGAGTCGCCAAACAATGCAGTCTGCCATTTTTTCCCCCTTTTCCTTAGCTGTGCTACTCCCTTTTATTCTATTGGCTTTTGAAAGCCAATAGAATAGACTCTCTTGAATAGAGTCTAATTCTATTGGCTTTCAAAAGCCAATAGGAATTGTCCAGGCTGTCTCTGCCCTGCTGAGCCCACCAAAAGTCCCATTCTGCAAACGGTGCTGCACCAGTTGAGTAGTCCTCGACTTACGACCGGTTGAGTAGTCCTCGACTTACGACCGGTTGGAGGTCACAGCATTAAAAAGGTTGAGAACCACTGTTGTAGTCAGTCTGTGCAATCTTCTTGCAACAGCTTACCAGGTGGTCCACTTTTTCTTCAGCTTCTTTGCATAGGCAGCACTTACTGTCTGCTGCTGTCTTCTCAATTTTGACTTTATATGCATTTGTCCTTAAGGCTTGGTCTTGTGCAGCCAGAATTAGTCCCTCGGTCTCTTTCTTCAATTTTCCTGCTCTTAGCCATTGCCAGGTCTTGTTATTATCTGCTTTCCCAGCTATTTTTTTAATGTACTGGCCATGTAGTGCTTTGTCTTCCCATGCCTCTATTCTGTTCTTCATTTGGTCTTTCTTGTAGGCCAGTTTGGTCTCTCCAGTAGTCAGTAAGCCTTCCTGATATACTAATTTCAGTGCATCTTCATCATTGTTCTTCAGATATTCTTCAAAAGCCTTTTTTTCTTCTTCAACCATCTGATGTACTTGTAGCATTCCACGCCCACCTATTTGCCTTGGTAGATAAAGTCTGTCAATGTCACTGCATGGATGAAGGGCATTATTATTATTATTATTATTATTATTATTATTATCTCCTCTACCCATCTCTGTTTTTCCTTACGCAGGTGCCACCTTTTTTTACCAATATAAAACTGAAAATGTGACTCAAATCTGCAACAAATCCTTGGGGGAAAACAATGCTACTTGGTGGTTTGGACAGCACAAAAGCTCCCTGCAAATATTTGAGCAGCGGTGCTGCAATCAAAATAAGTCACAAAAATGTAAGCGTGAAAACTGCCACAACAAACTTCACCTGGGCGATTTCTCCTCTGGGGGAATTTTTGCCTGCAGAAGCCTGATGGGGCACCCGATCCCGGAAAACCAAACCCCTATATTTACTTCGAAAAATAACTGCACAAATTTCAATTTCTTTATTATAGCAATAATAAACAGCACAGCAGGTGAGAAGGTTTTGCGTTTGTTTTTGTATTTATCTGGAATCAAAGTCATTCTGATAGCTTAGATCAGCAATTCTCAAATGTTTTGGTCTTAGAACCATGTTGCATTCTTAGAGATGGTTGAGGCGAGCTGTATTGGTTGATGTTCACTGTAATAGAAACTAAAAGCTGAATTTTTTTTAAAATATTGATTTATTTGACTCTGCAGACCCCCGAAAACTTCTGGTTGAGAGATTCAGGTTTGGTTGGGTGCATTTTGTGAACCAACTAAAGAATTTGAATAGAAGTGAATATTGTAGCTCAGAATTGAACTGTGGGGTCTTGGTGCTCTCTAGCCTTGGTGATTTTCTTGCAGACATTTCATTACCCAACTAGGTAACCTCATCAGTGCTAGAAGGAAGAGGGGTTTGATGGTGATCATCTTTACTGCTGATGATGTTCCCTAGTTAGGTAATGAAACGTCTGCAAGAAAATCACCAAGGACCCCAGAGCTAGAAAGTTTGCTGGTGGGTGCTATGAAAAAAAATCAAGTTAAATCAGACTTGCATACAGAGGCCATCCATAGAGAAAGAATGATATCTATAAGACAGGGGTCTTCCACCTTGGCAACTATATGACTTGTGGACTTCAATTCCCAGAATTCTTCAGCCAGCATTCTGGGAGTTGCAGTCCACAAATATCCAGTTGCTGAGGTTGCAGACCCTTGGTAAGAGACAAGGCATCACACAAACCCGCAAGACTGCGATGGGCTTTCCCTCTTTCAAAAAATTGGACCCTGGGATTGAAGGAAATGCATCCAAACCGTAGGGTGCTCTTCTCCCGTAAGGTCCAAAGCACCACAGCTATAAGACAAGCACGTTGTGGGCTCACAACTTGACAAAAATATGCCTCTAATCTCAACCCTTTCTTCCATTTTGCACGGTAGAGCAGAGTTCTGAAAACATTCGTGGGAAATCAGAGGAAAATGTGTCCATTGAGCAAAAAGAAAACTTTACTCTTTCCTGTGAGTTTGAACTGACAACGGACACAACCACGTTTGCCGTGTATTGGTTTAAGGAAACCGAACCAAGCAGCTGCCTCTTTTCAGCTTCAAATGAAGACCTTCACAATCTTGTTAGCTTCTCCTACGATGTCAACTGTTGCATTGATGAGGCATTCAGAGGCCGACGAATCAATTCCTCCAAAACTTCAGGTGCGCAAGGTGAAAAGCAGACGCACACAGTTACAATCAGCAACAGCACCGGGGCCGACAGTGCGAGCTACATTTGTGTGGTGGCCGCTTATAATAGAAAATACACATGGACAATAGAACGCAGGACATCTGTGAGCGTGAGGGAAGGTGAGTTTCCGATGGTGAGAACTGAGCATTAAAACGTGTCCTGTGCATTCTGATTACGAGGGCTCTTTGTTGCCCTCTGAGCTTGGCTGTTTTCTTGCAGACGTTTCATGACCCAACTAGGCAACATCATCAGTACTAGAAGGGAATGGGGTTTGCAGAGAAGGAGGAGGAGGAGAAGGAGGAGGAGGAGTCCTTAGTGGTCCTTGATGCTCTCTGAGCTTGGCTGTTTTCTTGCAGACATTTCATGACCCAACTAGGCAACATCATCAGTACTAGAAGGGAATGGGGTTTGCAGAGAAGGAGGAGGAGGAGGAGAAGGAGGAGGAGGAGTCCTTAGTGGTCCTTGGTGCTCTCGGAGCTTGGTTGTTTTCTTGCAGACGTTTCATGACCGTACTAGGGAACATCATCAGTGCTAGAAGGGAGCGGGGTTTGTTTTCTGTTTATATACAGTGGCTTGTCCTATCAGTGCTGATGAGAGTCTTCTTTGTGGTTCCTTGTTTATTGTAAGGACCCACCCCACTTTGCATCTTAAGAAGACAGAATTCTTGGAATAATTCTTCCAACAGGAATCTTTATTAAGAGAAAATGGTTGCAGGCGTTCTAGACAGGACTTGGGGTTCAAGCTCTCCCATTCGAGGTTTTAAGGGGTTCCCCAGTAGTCCCACCCAATCACCCCCCTCTTCCAGTGACAGTTTCAGGAATCACAATCCCACCCCTTTTTTCCTTTCTGCCAGCTGGATGGAGACTTCAGATAAACTACATGAAAGGTAAATAGCCTCCTTTGTTATGATAAGGCCTTTTGGTGCTACCCACATTCAAACCCTTTGAAGTTGTACCGAAGGAAGTGAGGGCCATAAAGCCCCTTTGTTCACCCCCTTCTCTTTCTTTATGACAGAATCCAGAGAGGGCAGAAATGGGGTTTTCTATAATTGATAACTGGAGATGAAGTATAATTGGATTCTGACATTTATGCTGTTCTTTACTGTTAGCTAGTTTGTCTGAGTTGGTAGTTCCTTCAATGGGGTGCTGTTGACTCCTTGATTGATGTTAACCTTGATGTCAATCTCTGCTTATTTGTTGATTGCAGGCCATGAGATGTTTTGGTTTTGCTTTGGTGAAAGTAAACTGCACTCTGTTCTAGCACTGATGATGTTGCCTAGTTGGGTAATGAAATGTCTGCAAGAAAAAAACAAGCTCAGAGAACACTAAAGACCCCACAGTCATAGTCCTCCTCCTCCTCCTCCTCCTCCTCCTCCTCCTCCTCCCAAGCTATACTCCCTTCTAGCACTGATCATATTACCTAGTTGGGTTGTGAAATGTCTGCAAGAAAACAACCGCTGTCAGAGAGCACCAAGGACCCCACCAGTTCAGCCCTGAGTTACAGTGTTTTCTTCTGGGGTGTTCTGCTTAAGATACTTTCCCATGTCAACCATTTGAAAAGATGCTTCCCTGACGTGACCATTTTCCATTTCTGACTAGTATGAATTTTTCCTTTCTCTTTTTTTAAGCATCACCACGAAGCTCAAAACTCAAACTCAAGATCTCCCTAGCAGCAATTGCAGCAGTCACACTTCTGATGGGTGGGATCATTTTGTTCTTGTGCTGCAAGAAAAAAGCGAAAGGTAACAAGGAATGACCTGACCGGGCGTGGCATCAAAGGAAACCATGCAATTTTGGGAAAGGAAAAAGCACTTGAAATCTACAAAATTCAATATATATATTTTATATTTTGTTCCAGGAAAGCCACTGGAAGGTCAACAAAGGTACTGCCTACTGCACAATTGAATAGAAATGATATTTTCTCCCTTACCCTGAAAGGCTTTTAAAATAATCTCTTTTATTTAGGGACCAGACTACAGATGCTACAGAAGATTGTAAGTCAACTCTTCTTTTCATTACATTTAGTTTCAAATGGTGGCTTTGGAATTAATATTATATCCCCAATATTTGGGATATAAATAGGCCCACTTAATGGATATAATCAGCACGGAGTCCAATACATTCTCGCAAAGCATATTTATCTTTTCTGACAATGCACTGAAGCATCAGCTAATACCACACAGGCAAAACCCATCAAAAGGTTGTTTTTTTTTAAATAACAAATTCAAAACTAATCGATCTCAGCCTGTTGTGCATGTTTACCGGCTAAGCCTTCCATTCACCTAAGCGGGTTGCTTAGTGAATTTTTAAATTCATTTTAAATGAAGAATGAAAAATATCTGCCCTTTTTCTGACTTCCAGGTTCTCCGTATGCCGTTTCCAGCCGCAGCGACCTGGCTGGCCCTGAAACGGTTTATTCGCTAGCCACGAGTCCTGGGGAAGCCCCGTCTGTAGCCTCTTCCTTTCCACAGAGCACCTCTGGCAGGCAACAGGAAGAAAATGTACAAGCTCTTTATTCAAAAGTTTGGAAGGATAAAAGTGGTCCTTCCTTGGCCTCTGAGTCCAGCATAGGACGCGCCTGATTTTCTGAAACGTTCGTTTATTGAGTAGAGGAAAAGGGCAATTCTCCAAAAGAGGAACTGGAGGCAAGTAGAATTCTTGGGAGGACTGCAGAGTTCAGCTCAGCCTTCTGGGTCTGAGTGGGTGGAAAGGTCTTCAGAGGAAACGTTGGCCAGAAAACCTTTGAATTAGTTGCTTCCTGGACATCTGCCCATCTCTTTTCTCCTCCCTTCAACTTCCATGTGAGCTGTTTTATTTTCATTTCATTTTCCAGGTGAGCTGCCATGTTTTTATTTTATTTTATTTTATTATTTTATTATTTTGTTTTGTTTTGTTTTATTTTCAATTTCCAGGTGAGCTGACATGTTTTATTTTATTTTATTTTCATTTTTGCACCTGTGCCGGTGCTAAAAATACCTCCCGCTGCTTGTCTACGGAGATTCTTCATCGTCCGGGTCACAGTTGTCCCAAAGCTGCTTTTTTTCCCAAAAGGCAACTGGACTTTTTTGGTTTGTTTTTTCTTTGAAAACGTTTCGCTTCTCATCCAAGACATGAACTGAAGGAGCCTCTTGGATGAGAAGCGAAATGTTTCCAAACAAACAAACAAGAAAGTCCAGTTGCCTTTTGGAAAAAAGCACCCTTGGGACCCCTGATGCTTGGAGCATTAGCTGGCAGAGGTCCTCATGCCTTGTCCGAAACATAATGGGAATGATTGGAAACCCTTTATGGGCTTTTTGCTGAAAATGGATAAAAATGAATAGGTGATTTCCAGAATCATTGATTCAAAAGAAGTTGTTTAAGGGAAGAAGGCAACCAGGATATGTCATTTGGAAGATGGAGATAGTGATCCTTGTATCTGTAACTGCTGCAAAAATGTCTTTAGATATATATATTTTTACTTTTTGTCGTTTTCTTTCATTCTTTCATTTCTTTTTCTTTTCTCTTTTTCTGTTTTAAGTTTCTGTTGTTTTTAAATCTCGGGTAAAATTCTCTTTCATCTACAAAGTTCTAGAACTGTTGCGCGGAAGAAAGGATCCCTTTAAGGAAGCTTCCCAAGTAGGTGGTGTATATGTTAAAGCGGGTTGTGATGCCCTGCAAAGACAACTCAAACTCCTTAAGATCTTCAAGCTCATTCTTCTTTGAAGCAGTCAAGCCAAACATGGGATTTCCACGTGTGGCACCTGTTTAAAACATTCTTTGCAAGCTGATAGGGTTTTTTTTTCATTTATGGTCCATTAGATGGCAGCCTTGTCTCTTACGATGGAAATTTCTTTCAGCCAGAAGGCACTAAGATCTGAAATTACCGCTGTTGGTGTCAGACTCCAATTATATTTCATCTCTAGTTATCGATTATGGAAAACCCCATTTCTGCCCTCTCTGGATTCTGTCATATTACGAAGGGGAAGGGGGGGTGAGCAAAGGGGTTTTATGACTCTCACTTCCTTTGTTACAACTTCAAAGGGACTGAATGTGGATCTCACCCAGAGGACTGACCATAACAATACGGCCCATCACCTTTCATGTACTCCTCTCTGAAGTCTCCCTTCCGCCGGTGATGAAAAGGGGGTGGAAATGTAACGCCTGGGATTGTCGCTGGAAGGACGGTGGGGTGGGGTGGGGCTGCTTGGGAACACTTAAAACCTTGAATGGTAGGGTTTGGGCCCCAGGTCCTGTCGAGAACACCTGCAACCATCTTCTCTTAATAAAGATGCCTGTTGGAAGAAATATTCCAAGAGTTCTGTCTTCTTAAGATGCAAAGTGGGGTGGGTCCTTACAGTTGGTCTTCATCTGCAGTAGCTATAATGGAGTCAGTTCTCAGAGTATGAAGGTTGGGGAGGTGAGAAGTTGTAGCCAGCTAGAGAAAAGTAGCTTTTCCCATCTGGTCTCTGAAAAAAATGGTCATTCTTAAATAAGAATAAAAGGAGATTTATTACAAGTGCCAAGTTCACTTTTTGAATAGCAAGGAAGATCTGTTTTGCATGTCAAAGGTGTTGTTTGTGGTCACACCCAAGGATGAGTCTCAATGCTCCATACATTTGATAAGGTTTTTATTGGCTGTCCTCATTTTCTGACTGGAAAAAGATCTCTTGGAGGGATTCTCTCGCCATAATTTCCTTTAAATCCTAAGAGTTAGGATTAGGATTGAGCTGGAGTGGAAGAAGAGAGGGATGTTGATTGTTGGAGAGCTGACATCTTAAATTTTGTGTCCAGATTGTTGTGCCTGTATATTTAAGCTTAGGTGTTTGAAATGCAACCGAATCTAGATTCAATCCAGAACTTGCCTAATTTAGCAACTCATCCCAGTGTAAATCCTATTTCAGTGCAAGACAGCTTCAACTCATGCAACCTCTGAGTAAACCTGGTTAGTTAGAACGGGTACTACCAGATTTCTTCTGGAGAATTTATGCAGTCCAAGTAGACAACACAAAATCAGATAGATTACTAGATAAATGAGGTTGGATCTCATTCAATGCATTTGCTAGCAAAGTTGCCAAGTATCTACAGCCAATTTGTTGAGAGGGTGGTTGACCAGGGGATTGGACTAGAAGACCTCTAAGGTCCTTCCAACTCTGTTATTCTGAGAGTAATTTCAAATGTATGCATCATAATTTCTCAGGAATCAGAAGGACCTTTCTTCTGATCCTCTCCTGAACTAGCTGAGATCCTGAATAACATGTTGCTTGCAGTTCGCTGTGTGCGTTTCCCTACTAAAAGCTGAGTTTGAATGATATGCTGAGCCTCATCCTTGAATTAACCCCGTTAAGGTTTCTACGGGGCATGGAAACATCTCCAGCAATTCCCACCTTTACGGGAGTTTGCTAAGCCTGTTATGTGGAAAATTGCAACAGTGATTGCCCTGCCATCTCCACGAAAACAGGAGCTACCCCCAAAAGTCTCTCCTTTGCAGAAAGGTAGACCTTTGGCAAAGCTGAAAATGTACCTTAGTGGTGTGCAAGAATGCAGCCCGTTAATACTGAAACCGATAGACAGGCTCACGTGTAGAATCCTTCATTGGAATGTGAAAATATTATGCGTTTGCTCTCGGATCCCGAGTAGTAATAAGAACTGAAAACCACCTAGTTTCAGTTGCTTCGCTTCTAATCAAAAATCAGGCATCTGGTAGCACCTTTTGTCAGCAGAAATGTGGGGTGAAAAAGCCCAAGCTTTCCTGAACTCAAAATCTGATAGTTGGAAACTTCTTTCCTATAAAGTACAGCTGTGCAGAACTCTAGTGTGAAAGCAATTTTCAAGCATCGGCCATAAAAATAACTTGCTGGTTAAGGAAAAAAAGAGGACAGTTCATGCCGGCCATCACTCCGCTTTCTGAAACACGGATGGCTTTGCTTCAAATTTCTGCTTATTCAGTTATTCCTGTTTCTTTGGCAGCCGGATGAGGAAATGGCCAGCAAATACCCAGTGTCCCAAACAAACAATGTTTATATTTGGAGTTAAACATCCTTAGCCTATGGTTTTAGGACTTAAAGAAGAGCAAATATGGAACAGCATAAAACAATCTTCAGTTAGGAGTAAGCAATGACTTTTTTTTTTAAAAAAGTGCTTGGCGAAGGACGTTAATTCCCTTTTAATATTTGCTATCTTAGAGTTTTAACGACTGTCGGATTCACTTGGAAATTGGCAGCCCCAGAGAAAGCCTGAATTTTAAGTAGGATTGGCCTTTCGTTTAATTTATTTTGAGCTTTGCACAAGGAATTAAGAGGTAGCAGAACTGGATTTGGAGAGTGCTGTAAATTTCTGGAGCTCACGATCCCTGTTTGCTTGCAGGGCACCGGAGAGGATCTGCATACATGCAAAGAGGGCTTCAATTTTTTTTTTTTTAAATGGAGATCTCTAAAAGCCATCTGTAACAGGCTGCAGATCAGAAAGGAGAGACAGAGTAAGAATAGATATTTCATCTTTTCCTCACTATGATTTTTATGCTCAACACCCCAATAGTGACTTCCTTTTTCTGTAGGGTCTTAACTGCATATTTAATAGATGTGGCACTTAATTAAGGGATCTTTTCTGGATTCTTTGCAGGAATTAAACAGCATAATCTTGTCCATGTTTATGTGAAGGATATTTCTTTCCCCCCCCATATAAGATACTAGGAGAAGAAAAATAAATCAGAGCTAAGGGGCTTCCTTCCTTCCTTCCTTCCTTCCTTCCTTCCTTCCTTCCTTCCTTCCTTCCTTCCTTCCTTCCTTCCTTTCCTTTCCCTCCCTCCCTCCCTCCCTCCCTCCCTCCCTCCCTCCCTCCCTTCCTTCCTTCCTTCCTTCCTTCCTTCCTTCCCTTCCCTTCCCTTCCCTTCCCTTCCCTTCCCTTCCCTTCCCTTCCCTTCCCTCCCTCCCTCGTCCTACAATAAGTGAAGAAAAATGATATAGTATTGAGACAATTCACAAACTTGTCTTCATACAGAGCAGAAGGAAGGATTTCCAAGCACTTTCTTCTGGGTAAATGAGATTCTTTGCTTCAAGGATAACTATGGAGGCATACATAGCCAAGACAAAACTCTGAAGATGGGGAAAGATGGGCAGACATGATCTGCCCCATTTGGCAGCCCTTCCCCAGAGGCCACCAGATGTTGCCAATGGAAGTGCCCCTTCTAGACCAATGTCCTTCCACAGGAAAGGCACCCCCAAAGGACCGTGCAAGCTCTGGATTAGATTCAGCCCTTGCAGAAAGTACAAAGAACGGCCCCTCCTTGTGAAGGGGGAGAAAAGAAAACCCCATCTCTACCCAGGAGTAAGAGATTAGCCAGTCCTCTTCATCATCCCTCCCAGTGTGGTTCTGCAAAGATATTAAATGTGGCCTCCAAACTTCAAAAAGACTGGCTGCAGCATGGTGCCTGGGGAACAATAGACTATAAATAAAGCAGCTGTCCCTGGTATTCAAAGAGGAATGGAGAAGACTTGGTGGCTGTGTTTGTGCAATAGCGTAAATCATACATCAGGGTTTACAAGCCATGTTGACCAAGCCGTAGCTCAAACATCTTCTCAGAACTGAAGGGTCTCGAGGCTTTGCCCTTGAGTTGGCCAAGAACTCTACCCTCATGCCATTGACTCCCTGATCTCCCTCCAACCTAACCAGCTTGCAAAGCCAAAGCAGTTTTGCAAATGTTGAGACTCTCCTTAAATTGGGTTGGAATAAGAGGAAAATAATAATTTCATATCATTTCAGCTAAAGGCAAAATAGGCCTGTCTCTTTTATGGGTGGGAGACGAGATGAAGATAACTCCCTGAGGACAGAGCAGAAAAATGTATTTTTACGAAGGCAAAACCAGAATCATTGGAAGAAATAACAGAAAAAAAAAATTCTCTTATAGCCCTCTCTCTCTTTCCCCCTCTCTTCTTTTTCTCTTTGAACTGCTAATTGCTACTTAAATATTTTCATGCTATGCTTTGGGCATCTATAATTATAACTCATTTCTATTGAGATTATTTTAATTTTTTTAAATCACTTTTTCTTCACAAACCATATTCTAAGTGTCTTAGCATGCTTTGCTGTGCCATACAGTGTTTATTTAGAATTATTCCTGCTTGAATTTGGCTGGACTTTGCTATGAATACATACAGTTCAATGTTTCTATACTCATATGTTTTCCAACCTAAAACTAAGGAGAAATTTCCTAATGGCAAGAACAATTAACCAGTGGAATGGCTTGCCTCCAGAAATTGTAGGCACTCCATCACTGGAGATTTTTAAGAAGCGATTGGACAGCCATTTGTATGGAATAATATAGGGTCTCCTGTTCAACTAGGGGGTTGGACTAGAAGACCTCCAAGGTCCCTTCCAACTCTGTTATTCTATGTTTCATGTTCTATGTTCCAATTTTAGTTTCCCAATCATGTTATTGATGAGGTTTCTCTTTTCAAACATTGGGTTGACCAATGATATGCTTCCAAGTCATTGTGGACTCTTAGCCATCACATAGGGTCATCAACTTCTCCAGGAGGATCTGCTCCCAACTTGGTCCTTCAGCTCTTCCAAGGATGCCATCATCACCATCATGACTCAGTCCATTTACCTTGCTGTTGGCTGTCTTCTTCTTCCTCTCTTTCCTACCACCTTTCCGAACATAGAGTCTTCTCCAGAGATTTAGGTCTTCACACAACATGTTCAAAATTGGATGATGTGACTCTGGCCATTTGTGCTTCAATTGAGAATTCTGAGTTCATTTGTTTGATGCTCTGTTGGCTTGGTTTTTTTGGCTGTCAGTGTTGTGAACAGCCTAGTTATTCTGTAAAGAAGGAGAAACTTTTCTAAAACGATCATTCAAAAGGCAGATTGGAGATGGCACCAAACATATGAAAGTGTTTTGATCTGGGGTCAGATATTTTTCCAACCTATCTAGGATTGCCTGCAACTGTTCCTTCCACTAAGCTTTTTCATCTCTTACACACAAACACACACACACACATCCTTTCAAGAGCTCAAGGCCAGGGACCAC